TGCAGCCATTTTAGTTTTGGCTTAACTTCTTGTCCCCTTGTCCTTGCAGGGATATTAAATTCTTTCTGAGAAATACGCCTCTGGCACATTACAATTTTTCCTCAATCCAGCTGCTACAAATTACTTTGTTTGGTTTCTGCATGCTTCTTCTGGAGCTTACTTCCCCAATTCTTCCAGAAGGTGTCTCGCATTAAAGGAGTACTGAAACTTTTCTTTCGATCTGTTCCTGTGTTGTTTTTTATTTCTTCAGTGGAGTAAGACTTTAAAGTTTTTCTTTAACTGTGCTCGACCTTTATCTGGCCTTGTTCAACCTAAATAATTTCTTGATGTTTGGTATTACGCTGTTGTTGCATTGTGGAGATACTGAGTTTGCCTCATCTGTTGGTAATCAATTTCCTCATCAAATGTTTCATGCTGCTGTGACAATGTCTTTAAGTTTTTGGAAATGTTTTTCAGGTGTACCACCCTTAATGGAAGTAAAACTTTTTTAGTTATTACCCTTAACCTGGTGACAAGGTTTGGTGGGATTTGTTTGCTCTGGGCAGGCCGCTATTTTAGTTTTGGTTAACTTCTGTCCTTTGTCCTGCAGGGATATTAATACTTCTGAGAAATACGCCTCCTGGTAGGCATACAATTACCCTTATCCACTGGCTGCAAATTCAGCTTTGTTCTGGTTTCTTCTGGAGCTTCCTTCCCAAATGTCTTCAGAAGTGTGCCTCCCATTAAAGGAGTAACTGAATACTTTTCTTTTGCGATCTGTTTACTGTGTTGTTTTTATTTCTTTTCAAGTGGAGTAACTTTAAAAGTTTTATCTTTAACTGTGCTGACCTTTATCTGGCCCTTGTTTCAACTATAATTTCCTTTGATGTTTGGTATGTACCTGTTTGTTCTTGTGGAGATACTGATTTGCTTCCTCCTGTTGTAATCAACTTTCCTCCATCAACAACGTTTCCATGCTCTGTGACCAATGTCTTTAGTTTTTTTGCAACTGTTTTTTCCAGGTGTACCATCCTTAATGGAAGTAACGTTTTTTTATTTTTACCATTACTGTGACAAGCTTTGGACTGTAATCCCCTCTGGTTTGGTATGTACCTGTTGTTCTTGTGGAGATACTGATTTGCTCTCTGTTGTATCAATTTCCTCATCAAATGTTTCATGCTCTGTGGCAATTTCTTTAGTTTTTGCATGTTTCAAAGGTGTACCATCCTTAATGGAATTAACTTTTTTAGTTTTACCCTTAACTGTGACAAGCTTTGGGGGGATTTGTTTGTCTATCCCTTTAGTTTTGGCTAACTTCTGTCCTTTCTCCTGCAGGGATATTAATTCTTTCTGAGAAATACCCTCTGGCACATACATTTCCTCATCCACTGCTACAAATTCACTTTGTTTGGTTTCTGCATGTTCTTCTGGAGCTACTTCCAATTCTTCAGAAGTGTCCTCCATTAAAGGAGTAACTGAAATCTTTCTTTCAAACTGTTCCTGTGTTGTTTTTATTTCTCTCAGTGGAGTAACTTTAAAAGTTTTATCTTTAACTGTGCTGACCTTTAACTGGTCTTGTTCAACTATAATGTCCTGAGGTTTTGTAAGTTTCTGTTGTGGTTCTCGTAAAGATACTGATTCGCTTTCTGTATCAATATCAATTATTTTGTCCATAACAGGCATGTCTAAACCTTTTCTTTCAACTTGTTCTTCTATTGATGCTTTTTTCTGCATATCTGTGGCAGTTTTATCTGCAACTTTGCCCATTTTTTGTAATCTCTGGGGTCTTTCTTTTTCTGTTTCCTCTTTCTTTGGAGAAATGACCTCTGGCTGAGTAATCTTGAAAGTGTACTCTGCTATCTTTAATTCCTCAGGTTTTATCTCCTCTACATCTGTAACTGGGGACTTGGTTTGTGTTTGTTTGAGTCTTGGTTTTGTCTCTTCAATCAGTGTAATGGTAATATCATCAGCTCTGGCTAGCTTTGGACTTTCTGGGGTAGACATCTCTGTTTCAGATACTTCAGATAATGACTCAGCTGTATCTGTCACCTTTCTTTCAGGTTGTTCTTGTTTAGTTTGTTTCCGAACCTTAGTGATTCTGTTTTCTGCTGTTTCTGGTTTTGAGGACTTTTTACGTTTTTCTGTTGGAGATGGCTTTATCTTTGCGGAAATGACTTCTAACACAATTTCCTCTTTTTCTACAATTCCTTGTACAGCTTCTGTGGTTTTGGGATATTTTTCTGAACCTGCTATCGATGATTCTTTATGTGTAAGTTCAATAACAGGAGTGAGCGAGGGTATTCTTTTAATTTGTTCTTGTTTTGTTACTTCCTCTAGTTGAATGGTGACCTCTGCAGTTTCATCTTTCATTCTTATTATCTTTGACTGGGCATTTGGTCTTGCAGGAGGAATGTCTTCTATTTCTGGTTTTGTCTTTTCTTTTGGACTAACTTTGACATGTCTGTCTTTGAATCTGTCCTCATCTTCAACCACTGTCTGCCGTCTCACTTTCTGAGCAACATCTTTTAGAGTCCTGCCCTTTGATAAGATTTCAGGCTTTTGAAGGTTATTATCAGTTATGTTTTCTCTCTCTGACAGTGATTCTGGATGTTTGACTTCTACTGCTGGAGTAACTAAGGTCTCTCTGTTGGGTTTCATCTCAGTTGTTCCTTCCATAGGACAGACTTTGACCAGTTTATCTTTAAATGTAACTACTTTGGACAAAATGGATTCGGACTTTTTGGTTGACTCCATCACAGGTTTAACTGAGGCCTTTCCTTCCTTCCTTTGGTGTTCTTCTAGTTTTTTGTCTTGATATTTTTCAGTGACTGCTCTCGGCTGAAAGTCATCAAATTCCTCATCTCCTGTTTTTTCAACAGTCTGTTTGGATTGTGAATCTGTTAATTGACTGGATTGTGAATCTCTGTTGAGTCTGACTGGTTTCTTAGCTGATGTTGTCTGTCTGGCAGACTTTGGTGTTGCATACAGCTTTTCCTCTGCTTCCTTCAATTCAACTATTCTAGGTTTGGAAGATAACTTTTCTGTTGGTTTAACAAGCTCCGAAGAATCTGTTTCTTCTTCGGTACTTTCAATATTTTCAGCCTGTAAATGTTTTTCTTCTTGGTCAGTTTGCTTTAATTTCTTCTTGAGAATGGCTTTTTCTATGGGTTCTAAAGATTTTCTAACTGATAATTTAGATTTATCTTTAAGCGCCTGTGTGATAACACCTTCCCTATTTTCATCGTATGCTTCAGAAGTCACCTGTTGTGGTTCTGTCACTTGTTTTTGATCTGTTTCTGGACTCTCAGTTGCTTCTGTATGTTCTTTTTTTATGTCTTTTATTTCAGTGCTGTCTGTTGGAGAATCAGTTTTTTGGACAGAAAACTTTTTGTCTTGAGCTTTTTGTTTGCTAGGTTCATCCTGAACTGCCACAACTTTTTTCCTCTTAGTTTTACTTTCTGTCATAATGACCTTTTCTTTCATTGTTGGGGTGATTTTTGTTTTAAGACCCGTTGTCTTTAAACCATCAGTAACAGATATATCAGCACTTACTCCAGACACTTTATCAGGTTCTTCCCTCGTACTTAAAATCCCTTCTTGTGGCAAAGATTTTATACTTTCAACCACAATTTCTTCTTCATCCTTACGATACACTTTAGGTTTTTCTTCAACCTCTTCTCTTTCCACGACCCTCTCTACTGAGGATGCTTCCTCTGATAAATCTTTTGTGATCTTCTGAGCTCCTGCTCTTTTCTTAGCCTTTAAAACACTGGTGGTGGCTGTTTGAGGATGAAAGATTTTAAGAGGTGTGAAGAGAAAGCACCATGTAGCGGTGCCAAGAGATTAGGGAAAAAACAACAAAGAAACACAGACAAACATTTGAAATTAAACAAGACAAACAGAGAGATAATAAGAAAGTAGTAGGAGTTGACAATCAAGAACAGGAAAATGTGCTGTTGCTGTACCTCTCTCTGGTCTTTTTACTTTGCTCTCCACTTGTGTTTCAGGAGACAAAGCAGCAGGAAAGGTTGTGGGAATCGTCACCGCTTTGGCTTCTGTTTCTTTAAAGAACAGTTTATGTTTAACGCAAGATGTTAATATTTAAGAGAAGAAAGAAAAGGATGAAAAACATAAATAACCATAAAGGGATGAAAAAAGAACCCATTTGAAAAGATACAAAAAGAATGTCATATAAGATTGTAATATGAAGACGCTGAGGAAAACAATGAACATGAAAGTGTGGTATGAAGAGATGTTTACAAATGAGGTGAAACTGAGGTTGATGGTGGTCTGAGGCTGAAATGATGACCCCTGGTGGCCGCCCAAGACTTTAAGAACAAAGATTGCACCCAAACAGGGAGTCATATGAAAAAGTTAACAATAGAAATGATCATGATGTTAGGTTTTATCTATGTACCTCTGGAAGCTGTTTGTGGGGAAATCCTTGTCTTCTCCTCTGGTTTAAATGGGATTGAAGGTTTTGTCTGAACCGCATCCTCGATCAAAACACTTGCTTCTCTTTTCTTTTCAGTATCACTTCTCTGAGGAGGGACGTCTTTGGATTCCTCTTTTTTCTTGTATAGTGTTTCAGTTTTTGCTGGGACTGACTCAACCTCAGTCTCCTGTTCAATTACTTTTGGCTTCTTAAGCTCGATATCTGTTACTGACTCTTTTGGTTTTACCCTGGGGGTCACCTCTACTTTAGGTTTTTCAACAACTTTCTCCTGCTTTGTATCTATTATATCATCAGATTTTACCTTCCTCTCTTGTTTCTTTTCAGCTACCTCGTTTTTCTTTACCAAAACGTTTCCTGGTAGAGTGTCATCTTTTTTGGAGTCGATAATGACTAGTGGTTTAATTTGAGTTTCCTCCTTTCTACCTGTTTCCTCTTCCACCATTTTTGTTTTAGTGGGGATAACTTTTGTTGGTTTGTCTTCAACTGTGACTTCTCTCTGCTTGATTGTAATTTCCTTAATTTCCTCAGTTCTACTTAATTTTTTATCTGGAATAGATGATCTTATCTCAACGTCATGATCTACCGATTCCTCCAAGGTGACCTCTGTCAAAATGTTTCTTTCAATTTCCAGCTTTTCTGATTGTTTCCTTGCTTCTGCACTGATAATAACAGGGAAATGTTTGGTTTCATCTGCATCTGTCACCAAAGGAATATCTTTTATTAACTCTATGTCTTTGACTGTTGTAGTTTCCTTAGTTTTTCTGACTTCCTGTTCTCTTATTTGCCTCCTTTTGCTCTCTGTTTGAATGGTTATCTCCCTTCCTTTTTTGACTGTAACACTAGTTTCTTGTTTAGAATCTCCCTTCTTGTCTGGCAGGTAGGTGACTGATATGCTGTCTTTCCTCTCATCTGTAATTTCCTCTGTTGGTGACTCGATTGTCCTGACAAAAAACTCCTCCTCAGTTTTGTCTATTTTGGGTTTCTCCTCCAGCCTTGTGACCTCCCTATCTTTGTCAGATTTCTGCAATATGACAATGGTTTCTTGTGTTTTTGGGACAACTCTGCGTTTAGTCAACCTGGTTTCTTTCCTATTCGAAGTGTCAGTACCAGATATCTCACCTATCAGTTCTCTCTTTCTGTTGTGCTTAAGATATCTACTTGGGATAATGACACTATTGTCTCGCCCAGAGAAGCTACTTCGTCTTCGAACAAAACTTCAGCGTGTTCTTCCACCACTTCTTTGTGTTCCCACAACTCATCTGTGGGGGACACATTCTCTGTCACGTAATAAACATCCTGTATTTTCTGAGCTCCTTTCTTTTGCTCAATCTTGACAAGACTCATAGTTTCTGGAAGATTTAAGAGGTGTTGAAGAAGTGGCGTCATATGGCGGCGCCAAGAGGTGATGACAAAACACAAAGACAAGCATTAGTGTTAGAAAAGGACAACACACAGATTAATTAAGGGGCTAATGCTTGAGGTGATCAAGATGTGGTTAAAGTACTCCATCATATTTCAGATGGTCGGTACCTTTTTCTGGAGGAGAGACTTTTTTCTCTTGTTCAACCTCTGTTGGCAGAATCTTCTCAATCTTCTTCTTTTCTATTTCTTTTAAAGAATTAATCAGTTTTTAATCCAAGATGGTGAGTGAGTAGAAGATCATTTTAAAAGAAAAGAATTTAGACAGTTAACAAACATACAGAAATAACCATCATACAGAGAATAACACAAACACAGCAAGCAATAAGACATCAAAGAGGGATGTAAGATGTTCCGAAACCCTTTGAAGAAGTGGTAGCTCTTCAGTTTGTATTCTATTTGCACATTTTCACCAACGGTGATATCAATACTTAGACTCAAAAAAATTTAATAGTTCGGTTCATTGCATAAGTTGTCTTCAAACTATAATGTTAATAGGATTATAACATGATTAGAATTTTTATGATGTCATATTTTTTTTGTTCTTGAAACACAAGACTATCCTAGTGTGCTCTGCTGTCTGTCAGTTTATTTTCTACCACTAGATGGCGCATGACATCTTTTTAATTTTATACCAAACGGTTTTGCAGTAATAAAATATTTTTATAGGTTTACTTGGCAAGTTTTACTATCTGTAGTTGACTTATAGATTCCTTTCAAAATATTCTGATGAGTTTAACAATAGTAAATGTATGGCATCTATTGTGACAATTTGGTATGACAAAATTAACAATTAAAATAATGAGGTAGAGATTCTTGCATCAGTTCAATCTTTAGGTCCCCTTGCTGTGAGTCAGATTTGCCTTTAATTGTCAATGTGGTGTAATTATTTGCATCAAAATGACACAAAATTAAAACATTTTGAGTGAACTTTTACATTAATACACCATATGCTGCCATATAGTAGATATATAAGTTCTGTAACTGGACTGTCGCTGATGGTTCACATGCACGAAGAAGACACAAAGAAAGATATAAAGAGTTGAGGTCTGTCTCAGCTGTACCTTTAGGACCAGTTTCTTCTACCTCTCGTCTAGGTTTAGCTTCAGGCACCTTCTCAGGTGTTTTATCAGGGGTCTTTGTAGGAACTGTTTGATCTATAGAGATCCTCTCTGTTTGTTTCTTTTCAGGTTTTAATTCTTCAACCTTTACAGGAAGTTCCACATGTGGCTTCTTCTCAGGAGTCCTCTCTTCTTCAGCCACCTTCTGAGGAACTTTCACAGGCTTCCTCTCAGGAGGAGCCTTCTCCTGCACTTTTTTCTCAGGTGGCTTTTCTGCAACCTTTTCATGCACTTTTTCTGGCACCATCTTTGGAATTTCCTCCACTTTTCTTTCAGGTGCCCGTACTCTCTCTGGGACCCTCTCAGGGGTCTTTTCCTTCACCTCTGTTTTCCCTGGAGGCCGTCTCTCAGGTACTGCTTCAGGTGTTTTATCAGCCAGCCTCTCAGGTTCAGTCTCCAACACGACTACCTCATCATACACCTTCTGAGGTACTTTTTCAGGCACCTCTTCAGGTAAGAGTTTAGGTTTGGGCTTCAAAGCTTTAAGAGGGTTTGACACAAAAACATGCACAAGACATGACTATAAAGAATAGAAAAATGTGCTAGCGCACAAATAAGGACACATTACACATAACAGGGGATGCTTTACACAAATTATCCTCCTTTAAGCAAAGGAAAGATCATGAAATAACCAAAATCAATGGTAATGATCTTCAGGGGGCCACAAAGTTTCCTAGAACTCTGGCCAGTAGTAACTGAAAAATCTGTACCCGACCTACAGGTACTAATATGTAATAATATCATTTAAACGTATCATGTTGAGTAAGACACCCCGCTTGTCTAAAACTTTAACAGACTCAGAAGACAACAAAAAAAAGTTAGAAAAGATCCATCAGAAACATAAAAGTACCTTTCTCTTTCTTTGTTGGCTCTTCTTTGGGAGGAACAACAGCAGGTTCTGGTTTCTTGGGTGCTTTTGGAGGCTCAGGCATTTTTTCCCCCACAGCAGCTTAAAAGAGTACCATTCACATACATTAGAACCCTTTCAATGAATTCAAGTGGATGGACAAATACAACACTCTGTCGAGTGCAAGACAAGAGAGACTAAAACTGACAAACACAACATGCGCCCCAACGTAACATTACAGTAACTCTGTGAGCCAGAAGTTAGACGTTAAACAAGAGGAACACACCACAGAAGCTGAAGAGGGTTTAAGATGAGTGTAACCATTTTAGGGTGATGGGTTAAGAGTTTCCTTGTATGAAGAACTAAACACAAAAAGGATAAATAAGCACTCATGAAAATCACTCCAGATGAATTAAAGTTGGATGATTAAGAAAATTAAGAAAACCTCCGGAGCTACATCTCAATCAGAAATGTTTTATACCTTTTTTCTGAGGTTCCTTTGGTGTGGGTTTTGGTTCTGGTTTTGGCACTCTCACTTCGGCTTCAGCTTTTTTCGCTACTAGTTCAGGCTTGGGGACCACCGCAGGCTGTGGTTTTGCAACTGGAGGTTCTGGCTTGGTGACGGCAGGTTCTGGCTTTTTCTTTTCAAGAGGCTCTGGTTCTGGTTTTCTGACTTCTGGTTTTTCTGGTTCTGGTTTTCTGACTTCTGGTTTTGTTTTTTCTAGTTCTGGTTTTCTGACTTCTGGTTTTGGTTTTTCTGGTTCTGGTTTTCGGACTTCTGGTTCTGGTTTTGTTACTGCTGGTTCAGGCTTGATCTTTGCCGGCTCAGGTTTTGCAGCCTCTTCTGGGACTTATAAAGTAAGATTTAAATTGGTTTAGATATAAGCAAAGACATTCAGGACAAACAGAAAGTCAAAGATTCGCTTCCACGCTTGAAGCTAAGCACAGTGAAGACATTTTAATACTCAACACAGAGAAACATACACACAGTTAGACTTAAAGTCTTTAAAACTCAACACACACATCCATACAAAGCAGAAAAATACCTTTGGATGGTGGTGGCGCCGGCTTCTTTACCAGTGCCGGCTTAGCTTCAGGCTCTGGCTCAACCTTCACTGCAGGTTTGGCTTCAGGTTCTGCTTTGGGAGCCGGTGTGGGCTTAGGCTTTGGTTCAGGTTCTGCTTTCGGTTTGGGTTTGGGTTCAGGCTCAGGCTTAGCAGTGGGTGCCACTTTTTTGGGCTCAGCTGGTACCTGAGGTTTGTGCTCATCTTCAGGTAGGTAACACAGACATTAACTAAGGTTAGGATGAAGTCATTGTAGCATCTAAGAGTTATCAAGAGGCATTTGAAAGAGTGAAATGACATATTCTACAGGCAGACACATTGATGATAAAGTATTACACCAAAAATCCACAGAACACCAGTTACAGAGCACAAACAGTACGATTAAAGTCAAGAATAAAATCAAGACAAGACAGACATTAAGAGGTGAGAAGCTACCTAGCGGTGAGCACAAATAAGCTTCTACTGAGGACGCCTGATAAGATGTCAAACAACAGGAAGAACAAAGTTAAGTACCTTTCTTTGGCACTCCAGGCTTCTCAGCAGGCAGTGAGGGAGCAGCAGCAGGCTTCTTAACCTCCTCTGGTTCTTTTAAGATACATTCAAACACATGAGAACAAAGAAAACAAGATGACAAAAGGAACAGACTGAATCTGAACAAGAACTGTCAAACCACATCACAATAGTATAATCAACATAAGGACAGTATCATCAGCAAAGATGGAAGATGTTCAGAGGGGAGATGTTAGAAATCTCTACCTTTGGGAGGAAGAACTTCCTTCTTCTCTGGGACTGAAACTACAGGAATCTTTTCCTCCACTGGCTTTTTGGCCTCAGGTACTTCAAATTTGAAGTAAAATGTGTGAAAAAGTGAAATTGAACATAAAAACATTACAGATGGTTATAAAGTAAAAGACCACACAGAGACAATTACATTAAATACACAACAACTATTTTGAAAACATAGAAAGTCACAGATGAAGTTAATATTAAATGGTACATGTCAACATCAGAGGTATGTTGGTACCTTTTGATGGTGATGGCTCCTTTAAAGCTGGTGCTGGCTTTTCTTCAGGCTTTTTCTCAGCTTTGGGAACTTAAAAGACACCAATTATGTTAGCATCACAAAAGAGAGATGCTGTTCATTTAAAGGTGAAGCAGAGAAGCGCATCAGAAGATAATAAGACACAAAAAACATCTACAACTACAGTAGATTATTTAATAAGTCTATCTGTAGAAAAAATAACAGATTAAGTAAGAGAGGAAAGAAATAACAGGACAAAACAATCAAAGATTTTAGTAGTGGAGGACGGACAATTAAGTTTGCATTTTTTCGGCAGGACAGCGCGCTGAGCTGCAGCAGGAAGACATTCAGGTCTGTGGTACCTTTTGATGGGATCTCCTCTCTCATTCCAACTTTCTTGGTCTCCACGGTCTCCTCAATGGGAACTCTGGCAGCTAGTGGAAAAAGAAACACACAAGGACACATCCAAAATCATCATCATTGTTAGAAAACATCTCTGATGTCCAACAGTAACTGAGGTAAAAGCAACAATTTTAAAAGATGAATTACTGCTCAGAAGAAATGTGTTTTTGTTCAAATCGTTATTAGTTATTAGAAAAAAGAGTAATTATCTCCTTTATTTGTTGAAAAACCTGTGCTGTATAAAACTTTTACGTTGAAAACACAAACTTTAAATAACATACTCTATATGTGTGATTTGAAAATCACAACAACTTTTTAATGTGTAAATAATAAATAATAAAAGTATGACTGATAATCTACACCCATGCATTTGGAAATTAAAGGTTTTAGGAGGTAAGCAGAAGCCAATAAATTAACCAAACTGACCTCAGATGTCAGTTAAAGACACAAGAGAGGTTATTGTGGGAAAAGTTAAGACAGGAGATTGATTATAAGACAAACAAAGACAAGAAAAAAGGGCGAGAGACGGGAGACACAAAAAGTACAAGAGCTAAAGGATGTAAGTGTCAAAAATAAAGACAAACATTAAGACAGAGCCACGGTTAAGAGCGGCTCAAACACACACAGTATTAACAGCTAACCGATGTCCCTCCTGTGTGTTACTGTGAGCTGATACCTTTGGTTGTGGACACCTGTTGTGTTACAGTCTCTTCTGTCCAGCTCTGATACTCGACTGAAAGTGTGACGACCACAAAAGTGACAGAAGACAACAAACGTGAGGCAAACAGTTTGTGCTCGGTGACGATAATTGATGTTATGACGTCTTTTCACAGTTTAAAAAAAGTAGCTGTCTTGTCATCTCAGAGAACCTGTAATAAATGAGATACTACTAAAACTATTCATCAGTTTCAATTTCCCAGATCAACAAGACAAAAGACATGAGTGTGCGATGGAAGAGTTGGAAGATGGGATGAAAGTTAAAGAGTAAAAAAAGAACATCCTCACACATCAGACGCAAACAAACAACAACACAAAATCCACAAGATAAAGGCACGTGCCTCCCTGTTGGCAGTAAAAACCTTTACAAAGAGGAGATCAGTCAGACAACACACAGATGATGTTATGGTGAACACAAGAGGCAGATTTGGGTAAATTCCCATTCTGAGACACTTGAAAAAAGTATTTAACGTCAATATTATTGATATAATATTATACTTCAATATTAACTAATAGATCGCTTATTTGAATAATTTATTGTTCTTGTTTGTTTTTCTTTCTTAAAAAATGTATTATAATTCCTGTATAAATATAGTTCTGTCAAAAAAGATTTAGGATTTACAAGCAAATTCTCAGAAAACAAATCATCTTTATACATTTTTATCTTTATTATGTTACTATTTAGTCTTTTTGTGATGTACAAAATCTAAAAAACCTAAAAGATAAATACTATATATTTGAATGTTTAATAAATGTTAAGGATTTTATTGTCTGTGTTTCCCAGATCTGCTCAGATGGTTTGATGGTGATGGTGAAAGGATGAAGTTTGAGTTAAAAATAAAGAAATACAAAATGTTGTACCTCTCTGTTCCACCTCCACCTCTTCTTCATAATGATATGAATATTCAGCTGATTCTTGTGAAAACAAAAGTGTATTTTTAGTTTCCATTATTAACAACAAAGACAGAAGACTTTTCAATTCATGATGAGAAGTATGGATTAGTTTGACTGTCAGTGAGGTGAGAAATTACAATGGTAAAAAAGGTTGATTAATTGTGTTTTTATACTGTTAATGTTAAATCTGATGTCTAATTTAGTTTAATGTTAAACTGAAGTTAAGTTATTTTTGGTAAAATCTGGTTGGGATGGAGGATGTAAGGAGATGTCCAAACACACACAGTAAATACCTCTATGTTCTTCTTCATAATGATAGAATTCAGCAGATTCTTTAAAAGACAAAAAACATATTGGTTTCATTATTATTATAGATTTGGGTCAGAATGTTGTTAAACATAGTCTTCCGATTCCTTGAAACTTGATGGAAACACAAGCTTTAGGATTTTGGTCTAAACTCGCATGTTAGAAAATGATCTTTCTTGAATCTTTCTGTTAAATGGATTTAAAAGTGATCTAAATCCTGCTCCTGATTCCAGTCTTACCTTGAATAGCCACTGACGAAGGCACTTCAGGCCTCTGAACTGAGGAGTCTGGGACATCTACGGAATATCGTTCATACCAAGACTTTAAGAACAAAACTGGACTGCACGCACAGTAGATTGAAGATTATATTAACAGTTGGACTGTTCTATAGTTAAAGAACAGTCAGACATTTTGGAAAATCCTCCTGCTTCCCAGCGTTTGCCAGAGTTGTTGGAAGGTAATAGATATAGATAGCACTAAGTTGCTACAAACTGCTACCATAAAATCAGCCAAAGACAGAGTGCTAGCTACCTGTTGACTGGTCGACACTGATTATATTAGCATTTTGTGTTTACACAGGCTAGTTCCACCTGCTTCCATTCTTTGTGCTAAGTTATGCTAAACATGTTTTTGCAGAACACCTGTTAGCTACAAGCAGCCACCATACTATTGGATAAGAGTTTGTAGCTAACATAAAGACAGATAACCACACATAGGTAACTTAATGTAGGCTATGCTAACAGTTTCTATAAGCTACGATAACATCAAGTAACTGCAAACGGCTTGCATAATTTTGGATATACTAACTGTACTTTGTTTAACTTTGGCCAACTATAAACAGCTAACATAAGAGTGCCTTGGACGCTGTTCATGGCAGTACTTAGCCAAGTACAAATACCTAATAGCAGTTAAGATAATGTTAATTATGCTAGCTGTTTGCACTAGCTAGTTTTTAGTCTCTGTGCTAAGCTAGGCTAAATGTGTCTAGAGGGATGAAACTGATATCCAACTTCTCATCGGAATCTGGTGAAGAGGGAGAACAAGAGGTTTTCCTAAAATGTTCATGATTAAACTGTCTAGAAAATAAAATACTTACCGAAGGGCACCATTGCTAATTCAATTTCTGTGAAAAGGGGAAGAGTGAACAACGCGTTAAACACTAAAAACAGACAAAAGCTGAACAGAAGGATAAAAAGTGCCGCCTGACTAGGAACTGTACCTTTGCCAGACAAATAAAGCTCAGCTGTGCTCTTAGCCTCTCCTCTGGGCTCCAACCTCACAATCACTGAGTACACGCCTACACGGGATTATTAATGAAGACGTTTAACACTCAAGTCACAAAAACAATGTGAAAAAAAATCTTTGGGGCTTTGTGACGGGCCTTTGGGGCTCACACACACCTTCATCTTCAATGGTCACGTTACGGATGACCATGAAATGTCTTCGGCCCTCGCTTGTGAAGTTGTACTTAGGGCTCTCTCTCAGTTCCCAGGTGTCTTTGTACCATGAAACAATAGCGTTGTCGAAGGACACCTCGCACTCAAAGGTGGCCGACTGGCGCTCGTTGACTTCGATGTTGTGGATGCGTTTGGTGAAATGAATTTGTTCAGCTAAAACAGATAAAGACGTGAATGGGTAAACGGGTTTGGCATCACAACTGGGAATGTAAGACAAAACTTGAATGGTAGTTTTCATCGACACAACATCCACATAGTTAGAAATGATGGTCAGAGGAATGTTTATGGGACGGTTATGATGACTGGTTGTTGGGGGTGAGAATGGATTTGAGTCGAAACGGACGTAAGAAGACAAGGAATGAGATGATGGTGGACGTTTTTGCAAGATAATCCAGGAGCAGAGAGGCATGAAGAATGTTAAGACAGAAGAAGACAAATCCCAGAAGAAAGAGAAAAAAAGAGGGCAAAATCCAAATCTCCAACATTAGTCTCAGAGTTTGATGGGGGAGTCGAAAGAGGTTAGTAAACGGGCAGAAAATCTAGAAGGTTGCAGGATTGTATCCAGGTACAAACCTTCTACCCAGAGGTCAGCTGATGACTCCAGGTGCTGGTACTGGCAGGAGTATCTGCCCTGGTCTTCAGGCTTCAGGTCTTTGATCAGAAGCTTCTGAACCTTGTGTTTCACCTCGGACGTGTACCTGCCCTTCATCTCTAACTGTTTGCCGTTTTTAAACCACTGAGCCTTTACATTAGGGATGGACAACTGACAAGACAGAGTACACGACTGGCCTTCCTTACCCGATGTGTCCTGCAGATGCTTTTCAACCTCCGCCTCTGAAAGACAGAACACACAAAGAAGAGAGTGTTAAGAAATCACTCCCCAAGTAACCCAAAGTTTAATGAAGGAATACAAAATGATATGTTGTCATGCATCACAAGTGAACAGAATCAGTACTGACCCATGACGGTGAGCTTGGCGCTGGAGATGTGCGGCCCACAGACCACCCGGTAGTTGCCCTGGTCGGACGACAGGCACTTCTTGATCTTGAGCAGGTGGCGGTCGCCACTGATGCTAATGTCGTACTTGTCGTTGGTGTCTAGTTTCTGGGTGCCCTTGTACCAGGACAGGGTTATCTCCGGGTAGTTGATCTTGATCTCACACTCAAATACTGCCTCCTTGTTGGTGAAGACTGACTGATCGGAGATGTCCTTCACCACAGTGACAGGCTGCAGGAGCAAGAAGGACGTTAACTTTCTGAAGTCAATGTTTCTGATAGAAACAACAATGTTTACTCTTTTGTTAGTCCACAAAACACTGGATCCTACACTGGAATCAGAAATAGATCTAAATCTAATATAAAACCTTGACTCATGCTAAGAACAGCAACCATAAATAATAAAATTTATACGCATTAGACAATGTCTTGTTTTCTATGAATCAGGAACACGTAGAGCAACAAATGTGTTAATTAATCTTGGGGTTACAGTCCTTTGGTGTAAGAATGAAGCAGCCAGTAAACATGTCCTGACCTCTGTCCGCTCCATCCTCTTCTGCAGGTCGGCCACCAGTCGGGCCATGTCTTCATCAGACTCTCTGTCTCCACGTTCCAGTTCCTGTCAACAACAACCACATTATTCAGCAGACGTCTACAGACAGAAACACAACTGGCTGTGAAGAAAAATTACCGGTCTTCCACTTTCTTCAGCTTTCTCCTTCTTCAGCTGCTCGATGGCCTGCAGCAGGCCTCGGTAGTCAGTGATGCCGTACATTCGGGCATATTTCTCGTACTCTTTGGGGTCCACATTCCTCAACAACTCAACAATGTCAATGTCCTTCTCCTCCTGTGGACTCTTCTGCTTTGAAGGCGTCCTGGGAACAAGACAAAGGAGCCAACGTTAGTTTGTAAAGATGGAAACAGCAGAAATGACTGAATGTAAATTTAGACGAAGATGGATTAATAAATATTATAACAGACGGATAAAGTAATTAAACTCACTTCTTCAGTTTGGCTCTGAGGTCTCCCTCGAGCTGTGCTGACTCTTTCTTTTCATCCACGTGCATTTCGGAGCTGGACTCAATCTCTCCGTGCTTGTTGGAGGCAACACACCTGTACTGACCCGAGTCCGACTTGGTCACCTCTCTGATCTCCAGCTTGGCCTCCTGGCCCTTTTGCTCAATGGAGATCCGGCCACCGTGTGTGATCTGCCTCCACTTACCCTTCATCCACTTCACACTGGGGATGGGGTCTCCGCCCACTTTAGCGATGAAGGTGGCGGTGCCCTCTGTGGAACAACGGGAGGGGAGTTAGAACAAAACTGCAAGGCCTGATCATAAATTTCACATTTACTTTTAATGGCAACAGCTGAAAGAAACAACTGTTTGTTGCTAAATTCAGAATCTTGGTCAGTTCCCCAGAAGTCTAAGGCTATGGTCACACTGCAGGTCTTAATGCTCAATTCCGATTTTTTGCTGAGATAAGATTTTTTTGCGTGGTTGTTCCTATTATAATTTAAATGCGACCGACGTCAGACTCCAGTGTGAACAATCTATGGCCCCGAAGTGACCCGCATGCGCAGAAGAAGACGTGGCGTCACACGCAGCACGCCGTGTTTACGGACGTAAATATGGATGCCATACATGTCAGCGTGTGTGTATCAATTTTGAAGTTGTTGTGCAATCGGACCCAACAAAATTACGATGATGATTATGATATTGTTATTGATGATATTGTCCCGCCTCCTTCGGCACCTAATTGTGATGTCTGTCTCACTTCAATGACATAAAAGTCGGATGAAATGCGACATGACTGTTCAGATTGAGGTCGCTTTGAAAAACATCAGATATGTATCCGATTTAGTGGTGAAAAAAGAAAGAAAGTGGTCTAAATCTGATTTGAAAAAATCTGATCTGGACAAGATTTGGGCCACTTTTGCCTGCAGTCTGAACGTGGTCTAAGATTTTATAAAGTTGTTGTGCAACACAAAGCTGCTATCGGTATCTGTTTATGTTACAAAAATATCTGTATTCGGATTATTCTGGAAGTTGTCTTGTTGTTGTCTACGATGAAAAGCCAAAGCTCACGATATACATACAAAATATAAAATAAATCCTCCCGTCAGCCTTTGCAGACCGTTCAGGCTGTTAACAATTGTCAATAATTTGTATGGACTTCAGCTCCTTGTGTTCCTCTCTACTGGTGGCAGTATTACATCAGAAATTCAAAGGGTCTGTGCATATGCAGTGACTTCCTGTTTATATAGTTGATTGTTTTAGACAATTCAACACTGGAGATGTTCCAGTAGGAATAATTCTTCATTTTGAGAAATACATATATTCACTTTCTGGTGGAGAGTTAGACAAGAAGATTGATATTAATAATCAAAAAAAGACTCTTCTGTTTCTGTGTATTATTATATGTTGTGTTTATGTTGTGGTTCTTACTCTCAGTGACGTGTGTAGTTTTGGGTTCCTCGATGAAGAACAGGTTTGCCAGTTTTTTGGTCGGAGCGGCTGCTGGAGCTTCAGCGGGAGCCGGAGCTGCTCCTGGTTTCTCTGCAACACAAGGAAATACAGTGTAACATCACAAACCTAAGTTCAACTGTTAAAGAACAAATGTACATGTAGCACCACTGATCATTATGTTTTTATCAAACATATTAAATCATGCTAAAATAAAATCCAGTTAAATACAGACATCAGTGTCAATCCCAGTTATTATCACTAACTGATCTGAAAATTTAAACATATCATATTTTGTTTATAAGGCCCATTGTTCCACTCCTTAACAAAAACATTTAATGACTTACTTAACTAATATTACATTTAGTAATTTCTTCTAGTATAAGTGTACCACAGGCTTAAAAACTATAAAAATGGTAGTTATCAGCATTGGCTTATCACAAACATATTGGTATCATATATCGACTATAATCTGTGAATTTGTCCCCTCTAAAATCTCATATTGGCCGAGCTCCAAAGTTGATCTTTAATAATAGTGAGGTTAAGTGCTATTGTCTTAATGTTCACAAGTACTACTGCATTATGTTTCCACAGTTTGTACCTTTGATGGTGACTTTGGCCTTGCAAAACTCGCTGCCGGCGTCGTTGGTGGCCTTGCAGAGGTAATCGCCGGCGTCGTGTCTGGAGGCTGGGCTGATCTCCAGACAGGCCGTACCGTCAGAGAAGCTGATCCTGGTGCTGCCAGCTGACGTCAGGTCCTTCCTGTCCTTCATCCACTGGATCTTCAGTGGAGCAGTCCCGCAGACGTGACACCTGAGGCTCAGCTTCTCGCCCTCGTCCACCGTCACCGGTTTGAGAGGGACGTCAAACACCGGAGCTTTCTTGGCCTCTGCAGGAGAGATAATCACAGTTTTATTATAGCAGACTGTACTAGGGTCAGTGCTGAGGCTACTGAATTAGATCTGTTGTAAAAACAAGACAAATTATAGACCACAAATTTGCATTTTTTGTCCTATGTTTAGATTTCTGTTCTGGAAATGTATGCATATTAGCTATTTGTTTATTAGAAAATGTCTCATTTGCATATTTAAACATAAAAATTCCGGAAACTTGTAATACCAAAAATAATTGTCTTAATTTAAGTAAGCAACTGGGGAAGTTTCATGTGATATCTATTAGTTTAAATTGTGACCCTATTCACAGTCCCACCCACCTGAGATGCCCACAGTAACGTCGCAGGAGACTCTTCCAGCCTCGTTGGAGGCCTGGCAGGAGTACCTGCCACTGTCCACCACCTGGCTGCTCTTAATGCACAGCACGGCCACGTTACTCTTAAAGCTGATGTCGTATTTGTCGGAGCTGTAGATCTCTGTGTTGTCTTTGAACCAGCTGACAGACATTGGCTGCGAGCCGGAGACGCGGCCTTCGATCTTCACCAGTTTGCCCTCCATGTCCTCGATCTGCTCCGAGGGCTTTTTGGTGAAAACTGGAGGGTTTTTACGCTCTGGAAGCAAGAGGAAAAAGTGACGATGAGGAGGGGAAGTTTTTTTTTTTCACACAAAGAAACGCCTTCAAATGGGGGCTGAGTGTTAAAGAAGAGAGGGCCAAGATGATATGAGTGTGGCCCGGGTTAAAATACCTTTGACAGTGATATCAGAGGAACAAGAGTCCTTCCCCATGTCATTAGAGGCATGGCAGAAGTATCTCCCCGTATCGGCTTTATCTGCCTTCAGAATGGTCAGGTGGGGCGTGTTTTCCACACAGCTGATCTTATAATTTCCCCCAGTGCGAATATCTTTATGGTCTTTGGACCATGTGACTTTAATGGGGGCAGAGCCGGTCATGTGACACTCAAGCTCAATGCTGTCACCCACCGTCACCTCCTGTGGTGACAACTTCCTGTCAAAGACTGGAGGATATCTTGGTTCTGCAGAGGGTCCGTGAAAGAGCGGGAGGAAGACAACAACAACAAATCTTTAAATGGGAATATTTCAACAGTTTGGGCATCAAACAGCCTCACACTGTCTGATCAGTAATTTAAACACAATCTGTTTCTATTCACAACCACAGACTCACTGGACTGTAACATAAACAGAGAGTAGAGTTTCTCAACCTCAGAGTCAGGACCTCACTGGAGTTCAGGAGATTTCTACGACTGTCACAAAGTGGTATTAAGTAGGGTTGAGCAAGTACTCGGCTGCCACGAGTGTCCAGTGCAGATAATTTACTTTTTATGAGTATCAAACCGACAAAATATGTCAATGGATAGGAACAGAGTTAAATTAGTTAGTTGAACAGATCATCGAAATATAAATGTACAGAAATGAAGCCAAAATATCCCAGAAAAAGAACAACCTAAAATGACAGAAACCATCCATGAGAAACATTTATTGGAATGTTTTTGTTTGTCCCATTTGCTGACAATGAGGCTTTATGAGCTATACTGCAGTCAGCCA